ATGGTCAATCTGATCAATGCGGTTACTTGTCACTTCATCGCGTCTCCTAGAGTCTACACGAAATTCACTAAATTGTTGAATTAGTAAGTTCAGAGCTGCAGCAAATTCATCGAACCAATTACCCAATGTATTGACCTGATTAACCGTTCTTGTCCCAACGCTAAATAATCAGTCCAGTATTAGGGTTGTTGATTTGGTGGCATGGCATTGTCATTTGGGTCTTCCAGATCAGGTATTGGTAGAGCCCAGTAAGTTTTCAGCACCACCAACTTAGGTCAATGTATACTCTGAAATTGGTGAAGTGATTTTCACATCTACTTCACCTTCAAGGCTGACATGATGCACTTTGAAAATTTTGGTTAACAAAGCTCCAAAAGGTAGTGACCGGCCACTGAGAGTACTAAGATTTGCAACTATTATTTCCTTTAGTAATATGTAGCATAAATCTAATGTTTGTCTAATTTCAAAACAATATAACGAATAAACATTAAAACATGGAACAACATCAAAATGTCCTCTTTTGGGAGTGACATTTTCAACTATCCATCGATAAAGAATGCAAATGTAGGGTTTTAAATGTCTTGCTTGTAAATTAATACTGGTAAATCGGTTCTCACAAATTGTGGTATAAATCTCAGTTATATCACCAACAATGTTAGCTAACTCAAACTCAATCTGAAAATGACATTGCAAATCCCCTGTCTGAACTCCAATAATTTGTGCCAAAGTGTGGGGTTTCAGTGTGATTATTTTACCTTTCACATAAGAGGTCAGACTATACAGTTCCACTTCTCCCTCAGTAGGTATCAAGTGAAGGTAAAATAAATACACAAGACGATGATATACATTTTATGGTAAATTAGTTAAAGGTAACCATCTCATCGTATCCAATTTGCCAAGCAACAGTGGATTACATTGAAAAGGTAGATTTACCTTTCTCCCCGTAACAATTGGTCGGTTGACAAAATTTGAATAAGCTTGTTTGTGATTGTATGTGAGAAAATCAATAGTTGGATAGTGATGATGTTGTTGCTGTTGTTGACGTTGTGAAGGGTTAGAGATTTCGCCACATTCGGGTCTCGCTCTTTTTGTTCTCAGTATAACTTATGAAGGTAAACAAAATGACTACAAAAGTTAAGAAAAATATATCAAAAATGTATGAAAGATGTATAGTAAAATGTATGAAAATGGTATGAAAAAAAAAGCAACAGATAGCCAAACTGAACCTCTGCTGCTAGTGCAAAAGGCAAGCAACAGATAGCTAAACTGAGCCTCGGGTGGTGGAAGCTCGAAGTGAAACCGGTTGACTGGTCGGTTGTCTTATTTGCTGAAATATTTGACTTTGTGCAGCTCAGCTTTGAAATTGTGAAGCTATTAAGAATATGAAGCTATGGTTCAAACTAATCTCTTATGAAAGCTCTTCGTCTCTTCTTTTACACGGATATCTACACTGAATTTATGATATTGTATGGTAAAGAAGTTGCTAAAGTTATTGGAATGAAGATGGTGAAGATGGTGTAGGTAAACAAATGAAGATGCTGACTTATATAAAGCCTTAGTTCCAGAAGTTGCTCTTTTTATTTATTTTTCTTTTCTTTCGAATACTGACCATTGACAATCTGTGGTTCAGTTTTGTTTTGTTTTGTTTTGTTTTTTTTTAGCCCAATGGATAGTAATTAAGAAAACAAAATAACCACAACATGTGTCAACCATTTAATCGCTCATCGAAACAAGTTAAGCGTCATTGTCAGGTGGTGGTGGATGTGAAGGGAAGTAGTGACTCAATGGTCAATCTGATTAATGCGGTTACTTGTCATTTCATCATATCTCCCAAAGTCTACACAAAACTCACCAAATTGTTGAATTAGTGAGTTTTGAGCGGCGGCAAATTCATTGAACTGATTACCCAATGTATTGACTTGATTAGCCATTTGTTGTTCCCGTTGTACGCACTGATTATACCGTTCTTGTTCCAGCGCCAAATAATCAATCCAATATTGGGGTTGTTGATTTGGTGTCATGGCATTGTCATTGGGGTCTTCTGGATCAGGTATTGGTTCATTTACAAAATTAATAGATCCTAGTAAGTTTTCAGCACCACCAGCTCAGGTTAGTGTATACTCTGAAATTGGTGAAGTGATTTTCACATCTACTTCACCTTCAATGCTGACATGATGCGCTTTGAAAATTTTGATTAGCAGAGCTCTAAAAGGTAGTGACCGGACACTGAGATTACCAAGATTTGCAACCACCATTTCCTTTAGTAATATGTAGCATAAATCTAATGTTTGTCTAATTTCAAAACAATATAACGAATAAACATTAAAACATGGAACAACATCAAAATGTCCTTTTTGGGAGTGACATTTTCAACTATCCATCGATAAAGAATGCAAATGTAGGGTTTTAAATGTCTTGCTTGTAAATTAATACTAGTAAATCGGTTCTCACAAATTTTGGTATGAATCTCAGTTATATCACCAACATTGTTAGCTAACTCAAACTCAATCTGAAAATGACATTGCAAATCCCTTGTCTGAACTTCAATAATTTGTGCCAAAGTGTGGGGTTTCAGTGTGATTATTTTACCTTTCACATAAGAGGTTAGATTATACAGTTCCACTTCTCCCTCAGTAGTTATCAAGTGAAGGTAAAATAAATACACAAGACGGTGATATACCTTTTGTGGTAAATTAGTTAAAGGTAACCATCCCATCGTATCCAATTTGCCAAGCAACAGTGGATTATATTGAGAAGGTAGATTTACCTTTCTCCCCGTAACAATTGGTCAGTTGACAAAATTTGAATAAGCTTGTTTGTGATTGTATGTGAGAAAATCAATAGTTGGATAGTGATGATATTGTTGCTGTTGTTGACGTTGTGAAGGGTTAGAGATTTCGCCACATTCGGGTCTCGCTCTTTTTGTTCTCAGTATGACTTATGAAGGTAAACAAAATGACTACAAAAGTTAAGAAAAATATATCAAAAATGTATGAAAGATGTATAGCAAAATGTATGAAAATGGTATGAAAAAAAAAGCAACAGATAGCCAAACTGAACCTCTGCTGCTAGTGCAAAAGGCAAGCAACAAATAGCTAAACTGAGCCTCGGGTAGTGGAAGCTCGAAGTGAAACCGGTTGACTGGCCGGTTGTCTTATTTGCTGAAATATTCGACTTTGTGCAGCTCAGCTTTGAAATTGTGAAGCTATTAAGAATATGAAGCTATGGTTCAAACTAATCTCTTATAAAAGCTCTTCGTCTCTTCTTTTACACGGATATCTACACTGAATTTATGATGTTGTATGGTAAAGAAGTTGCTAAAGTTATTGGAATGAAGATGGTGAAGATGGTGTAGGTAAACAAATGAAGATGCTAACTTATATAAAGCCTTAGTTCCAGAAGTTGCTCTTTTTATTTATTTTTCTTTTCTTTCGAATACTGACCATTGACAATCTGTGGTTCTGTTTTGTTTTGTTTTGTTTTGTTTTATCGAACAGTGACCAACTGACAACTAGCAGAGCAAAGAGGGGGGTCTATTGCATGAGTGAAATTACGATATTGTCCTTTTCATTTTATACTTACATAGCAATTTGATAGTCTATGAAGGAGGGGCAAGTTAGTCATTTTATAGTCAAATACATCAATCAATAGCTCCAATAATATGAGCTTCACGGGGTGAGGGACAATAATGAAGCTAAGAAAACGGTATGAGATAAAGCATTTTTATTAAATTGATAAAATTTAAAATGTTGATAATGTGTTTGGTAAGTTTACGTTTTGATTTGTATTTAAAAGAATTTAATAAATTGGTTTTTGTTAATTTTTATAAATATGTAATCTCCAAACGTGTTGGTTTGAACAAAATGTTTGAAAAATATTAGAAACATATAAAACAAAATGTTTATTCAGGCCTAAAAAATTAATTGACAAAAAATAATTGACATAAAAATTATTTGAAAAAAATATAATTTGAAAAAAAATTATTTAAAAACAATTAATTGAAAAAAAAAATCATTTTTTTATTTGAGTATTTTAAAAATAGTTTGGTTATTACTGTTGATCAAAAACACAGATATCGAGTTGTGAGTTGTGCGTTTGATTGTCAATTATAGGTTAAATTAAGTTTTGAAAACAATTATGAAAACTCGTAACCAAATAAATTTTCTTATTTTACATGTCATATCAAACTTTCAAAACTCAATTACACACACAATTTAAAACTTAATTCAACACTCTATTCAAAAACCATAACCAAATAAATTTTCTACACTCAAATCATAATTTCAAAACTCATAAATTTAAAATACAACTCTATTTTCAAATCATATTTAGAAAATTCTACCAAACGCAACCTCTGTGTCTCTATCTTTTATCTAGGAATCCACATATAACATTTTGATTTGACATTTTGTGTAACAAATTAATTTTTTTTTTTATATTGTATCATTGGAACAAAATTACTAAAATTAAATATTTAAATTTTTTATAACAACAACTAACAAATTAATTTTTTTTTTATATTGTATCATTGGAACAAAATTACGAAAATTAAATATTTAAATTTTTTATAACAACAACTAACTCTTTATCTATCTAACCATTGGAGATTCTGTTAGTAGTGAAAAAACATTTTTATTAATGCTAAAGAACTTATAGAGCTCATTCATTTTTTCTCAAAATTTTCACTAAAATAAATAAATAAATAATTACTGTAATAATAATATCTTCTCACAAATTAAGAGATTGTTTGATTAGAATTTAAAAAAGGGGTATTTTTTTTAAGGTCCTTGATATTATGATTTTATAGTATAAAGGACAAGAGATTGTTTGATTAGAATTTTTAAAAAAAATATATTTTTAATATTTTTTAAATCATATTATTTCCTTATTTTTTTACAAATTTTTTTTATAAAAAATTAATAAATTTATTAATCTAGGACCAAACAACTCTAAACCAACGATACAGCCTCTCATCCCTCGCACTGTCAAAAACACGATCCAACGGCTTACATCCATTTAAGCATTCTATATATCACTCACTCTCGTAAAACCCTCACCCGATTGAAACCTTTCTAGGGTTTAGACTTGCACTCTCTGCACACTGAGAGAGAGGGAGGGAGGGAGGCAAACAAAGCTTACGGAACCTAGCGGAAAAGGTAAATCTCCAAGCCCTATCCATAGATTTTACCACCAATCGTTCGTTCCGATTGCTCTATCTGTACATGCTCATATATGTATGTATATTATATATGCGTGTGTGTGTGTGTGTGTGTGTAATGCAAGTAAAGATGTGTTTTATACTATGGCTGGTCATGCTTGCTTCCATTTTTCATAGTTTGATTGGACTGTGTTTTTAGGGATCAATTGAGATATGTGTTTGTGGTTTTTTTTTTTTTTTTTTTTGGTGTCGATAAGTACTGTTTTGTGGTTGAGACATACAAATATGAGGTTAGGTGCTGACCTAACCAGATGAGTGTGTGAATCAGGGCATAGAAAAGAGTGAGAAGTGGGAAGTTTAATCCTAATTGTTCTGTGTTGCTGCCCTTTTTGAAGCATGTTTGATCTTTTTCTTAGAAAAAAGAAGAAGAAGGGGAAATTAGGAAAAAAAGCCTTCCATGAGTTTTTAATTTTGTCAATTTGAACCATAATGTTTTTATTTATTTTCAATCTAAACCATTAGACAACTTTTGTTAAGTAAAATAAACGGAAAAAGTTTATTTTAGCCATTAAGTTCAATCTAGTTGTTCATAGAATGTCTAAAATACCCTTTTTCATTGAGTTTAATGAATAAAATATAAATTTTCCGTCTATTTTACTTGAGGAAAATAGTCAGATAGTTTAGATTGAACACAAATCAAAATTTAAGATTTAAATTGATAAAATTTAAAACTTATTGTTTATTTTGTTACAAGGGTCAACCCCTCCCCCCCCAAAAAAAAAAATCATAAATGCAGGAAATTAAATGTTAGTTGAAAAGAATAAAATCAATTCTGAATGCAAAAAATTATAGAAATCAAGCTTAAAAAAATGGGAGCTGGACTTGGGGAAAACTAATGAACAGTTCATGTGTGTCTTATTGTTTACTGTTAGAATGATGTTTTTTACCATATATGTACATTTGCTTCGTGCAACAAGAACCAAATTAAATGCCAAGAAACAATTGAACCCTTGTATTGGTTCCCAGTAATTTGCATAGAAATAGATGTTAGCATCCTAATTTCTGTGTGATTCTATTTAACACGTGTTTGGGAACCTTAAACTTTTACCGTTGCTTACCAATGGTAGAAAGTGTATATCGGGTTGTCAAATGTGGGTTGAGTTTGAGGGTTGCCTATTAAGATGGAGGTTTGGTTTGTTCTACCCCTCGTAGCACCTCTGATTGAAAAGGCCAACACTGGTAATGTGGTAAATAGGAAGCTCTCTTCGTATGTTTTTGAACGGGAGTTAAAATTTGCATTTTCATGTGACATCCTCTTGAAGTTCATTTGCTTTTTGATACATCTTGTTGTACAACTTCTTAAGGTTTAAATTTATGGCTGATATATTGGATGTGTGGGATGGATAAAATTTTTGAATTGCTTTGTGTATGAACTCTTTTATATGTATGACATTATATATCATTGAATTTCATGGCTTGGAATTTGTATAATGATGATTGTTAAAATGTAATTTCAATGGTATACTAATAGCTGAAAGTTTGTATTTCCACATGTGGATTTGACATATGGATGATTTTATGGATCTGTGTAATCTCTAATTTTTAGTTTAACTCGGACTTTAAAAGCAATGTGAACATTTCCATGTGGATTCTTCAAACCTTTTTCTTGTGTACATGTGATTCTTCTCTGCATGTGTGTGTGTGAGATTTTTTGGTGAAATTTGCTTTTTTACTATCTTCTTGTGTTAACCCATACAGATTCTTATAGTTGGTCTCTCCACCTTGATGCCAGGGCATGCATCAAGTGGAGTGATTAACCAAGCAAATAGCGAATAATTTAAGTGTTGAATGTTTGTTTTGGTCCTAATTTGTTGAAGAGATTCACATTCATTCCAATATGTCATGTGCCCTTTCTCCCTTGGAGATTTTATCTTCCATAGTCAACTACTTGAGATTTTGTAGTCTGTTATCTTGGTGGAACATATATCGTTGAGAAGTGTGATACAATGGGAACTTAATTTTTGTACTCTGTTTTAGGTTGCAGCTATGGCTTTCTTTAGTAAAGCTGGGAATGTACTCAAGCAGACAGTGAACAAGCGCATCAATTCAGAAATTTTTGGGTCGAACCCTTCCATCTTCCAAATGATACGATGCATGTCATCTTCGAAACTCTTTGTTGGAGGTGTATCCAGTTCTTTAACAATTAAGACCCCATTTTTTTGTAGTAAGTGCTAATATTAGTTTGTTCGATTTGCAGGAATTGCATATAGTGCAGATGACACAAGTTTGAGAGAAGCTTTCAACAAGTATGGAGAGGTCGTTGAAGGTATGTATATCAATTTAGCACATGACATTGTAAATGTAAGCCCAAGGGTCCTTAATGCTGATATGAATTTTTTGTTTTTTTTTGTGTTTAGTTTGCTGAACTGTTTTGATATTCTTTATTACAATTTGTAGTGTCATTGCATTAAAGATTCAACTTGAAATAAAGTTGTTGAGCAATGATGTTTGTGGCCACATGCTTGTGTCTGTGCGGTATTTCTAGTTTGATAAAACCTGAAATAAGGACTTTAAATTCTGTACGCCAATCACATTATATTGTCTTATCAATTTTTCTGATGACTGTATAGTATTATTGTTCTTCCTTCTAGGGACTTGCAATTATAATTGTTTAGTTTGTGCATGTGCAGCCATGCATGCAGCTCCCTGCTTTTTTGTGGCAATTTTATTTTTCTTAACTTTCATTGCTTAAGCTAAATCATTATTGCTTATGCTACTCCCTTTAAGCATAGACACATCCTTGAAGTCCATTCAAAAAGTCACTATCCTATTTAAATCACATCATCTTATTTAAGTCACATCACCTCTCTAACACATCACTTCAAACCCAACCCAAACCCAACCCATATTTCATAAAAAGTCAAAAAGTGCACTTATTTAGTCTTCCCAAACTAGGCCTAAATTCCGTACGCCAATCACATCATATTGTCTTATCAATTTTCCTGATGACTGTATAGTATTATTGTTCTTCCTTCCAGGGACTTGCAAGTATAATTGTTTAGTTTGTGCATGTGCAGCCATGCATGCAGCTCCCTGTTTTTTTGTGGCAATTTTATTTTTCTTAACTTTCATTGCTTAAGCTAAATCATTATTGCTTATGCTACTCCCTTCAAGCATAGACACATCCTTGAAGTCCATTTATGCGGGACAACTTATAGTAAAATTTGTATTCGAAGGCTATATTATGATGGAAAGTAGTGGGCTTATATATTAAAACTAGGGCAATAAGATTGTGGTTTGTAAAATAATGGATTCCAAATAATTCATATTTTGATAATGCGTGTACAAAAATCCCTAAAAATAAATATTTCCAGCAAGCATGATTTTTAAAATTTATATAATGACTTAACTAACCCTATAACTAATGCCTTGTGATTGTGTTTTTCCCCTCCTTTTTTTACCTGCATTATCCATGCTTGATATGGACTGCGGTCCAGAGTGGAGAATATTTCTCTCTGTTGGAAGAATTGGGGGTTGAAATGTGTGTTTGAGCAAGTCTGCTTTAGTTTATGAGAAGTTGAAGACTTTTTAATTAACGTTGACCTGCTTGATATTTCCTGCAGCAAGAGTCATTGTAGATCGTGAAACTGGTAGGTCCAGAGGGTTTGGCTTTGTTACTTACACTAGTGGCGAGGAGGCTTCTGCTGCTATCCAGGCCTTGGATGGACAGGTACTGATTACTTGTGAGTGAGTCTTTTCTGTCTTCCTGGAATAGTTGAAGGTTAGTGATGGTCTGGTCATTGAATTGTTGTTAATGATGCGTAATGATTTTTGGGGTTATAAGTTTAGTATCACATCACATCTCTTATAAATTATTAATAGTGAATGTTAGTCCGAGATTTTTTTGGATCTGGACACTCTCAAAAGTATGTTATAATATAATATAATTGCCATAAAGGGAATTTAAGAAACTTAAGTTGTCTTTGGATCAAGAAGCTTATTATCTAGTACAGCTACCCTTGGATAAACATTCAATAGTATAAAATGAATTAAGATTTTCCCTCCTTGTACACTTTGATACAAAATGATGTTGAAAAAACCATCATAGTGGCTTCTCAAAAGAAAAGAAAAACCATCATTGCAGTTGTTTTGTTTTACATTTAGAAGTACATCTACTATAGCTCTTTGTATGTGGATTGGTTTACCCTTTTTAGAATAATCTTGACTTGTAACATTGTTTGACAGTGATTCTTTTGAGTTTTGAATGTTTATGCCAGGAACTTCATGGCCGTAGAGTAAGGGTGAACTTTGCAAATGATAGACCACCACGAAGTGGAGGCTTTGGTGGTGGGGGCTACGGTGGTGGCGGCTATGGAGGAGGTGGTGGCGGTTATGGCGGCGGCGGCGGCGGTTATGGTGGTGGTGGTTATGGCGGTGGTGATAGCTATGGAGGAGGGGGCAGTTATGGGAACTATGGAAGTGGAGGTGGGTATGGTGGCAACAATTATGGAAGTGGAGGCAGCAATTTTGCCCAAGGTGGCACTTGTGCAGGTGGAACTGGAACTGACAGTGGGAGCAGTGGCAATTATAGCAGCCAGAGTTTGGGTGTTGCTGGAGGTGGTGGCGGCAGTGATAACTATGTTAGCGGTGTTGGCAGTGATGGTGGAGTGAATAGCAATTTCGGAAGTAGTGGATTTGAGGGAAGGGATCAATTTGGTAGCAATGAGAGCAACAACATGGCTGATGCTTCTGAGGATTTGGACGAAGACGATCCCATAGAGGGGAACTATGGGAATGATGATGAGCCTGATGACTATGCCAACAAAAGGGCCTGAAAAGACTAGCTTGAAAAACTCACAATCATTGAGTATACTACCAAGTCTTGTTAATTGCTTTTACCCCTCCCTCTCTCTCTCTCTCTTTCTCTCTCTCTTTCAATGTGAACTGCTACTTATTTTGTCAATGTTGGATTCAAGCTTGTAAACTCCTGTGCTACAGTTTTAACTTACTATAAAATTTTCTATTGAGAACTGTTACCCATGGCGGTTCAGGTAAAGGTCTTAAATATCTTTTTTTGCTTTTTTTTGTCGAATGAAGCATGTTTTGCATAGTGGCCTATTAAGCAGGCTGTGATTCTCAGTCTTGCCAAATTACAGAATGTGTTATTTTGATGTTATTTTTTTAACTGAAACTTTGCTATTGATTAATAGGTTTCCCAATGATAACAATCTTCTTGATCATTGGTGTTTTCTTTCCCAAATTGCTCTTCTTCTTCGTCTCTTATTTTTTTTATTATTTTTTTGGTTGGTGTGTGTGTGTGTGTTGGGTGGAAGGAACCAAGTACTGGTGCTCTAGAGAATGGTCTCATACTTAACTCTGATTTTAAAGAATTTTGTGGACGGAGAAGTAACAGGCTTCATAACTTCTGCTTGGCTTTGAATTGTATCTTTAAGCTGCCCAAAGAACGAAGTACTTTCTTGGCAGCGGGAGGTGATTTTTGAAGGAGTTTACAGGCAATGGGGGCCCGTAGTGGTGTTTGGTGATTAGCTGTGGTTAAAAAAAGTGAAATTAATTTGTTTTGTGATTATAAAAATTTTGTAAAGGGCAAACTATGCTAGTAGGTCTTACATTTTAGTGTCATTTTAGTTTTTACACTTTCAACAGGCTTAATTTTGTATTAATTTGATTCAATTGATAATGCTATTAGAGTTTTCGCAAAAAAACAATCACTTAGTTGAGATTAATTAATTGAGTTGAATAAATTTCGTTTTGCATTTTTCATAATATATATATATATATATATTAGTAGTTGTAACTAATTGGATTAAATTAAGATAAAATTATAAATTTAGAGTAAAAATTAAGCCAGTTAAAATTACAGTGCTAAAAAATATAAAGACTATTGATGTAATTTGCCTTTTTACTATGAAAAATGAAATTAGATACTAAATGAGTATTTATTTACAATTTTTAAAATTATGCACGTAAACAAAATAAAAAATAAAAACATTACTAAATGGCACCATCAAAGTAGAAAGCAACACAAAAGAAACCAACTTAGTAGTTATACCCTAATTTTCTTAACATAAAGTCAAATTTACAGAACATAAGCAACCAATATATTAATTATCTGATTATTTTTGCTTACATATTCCTTTGATATGAAGGAAGAAAAATAATGATATTGTAAAGATGGAAGAATACAACTACAAACTGCAGCAAACAAAATAAAACCAAACTCTAAGCCTCGTAGGGTTGGCTACATGAATTCTGCTCTATCAAAGGCTATATGCTCAGTTAAACGGCAGCAAACAAAACAATAATAAAATAAAAATGACAACATAAATGATGCAAAATCGTTCAGATTGCAGCCTATTCCAAAGAATTTATCAGATTGCTGAAATTGAAAACCAGCCAATCAGCTTTTGCTGCAACAGCCTCTCGAAGTTGAACTCCACCGTAGCAAATAAACAAGTCAGCACCTCCTGGCTTACGAGCCTACATAGAAAAAGAAAAATTTCATCAATAGAAACTTCTTACTCAAATATAAAGCCAATCTAACAATCGAAATGCCACTCTTGAAAAAAAAAAAAGAAAAAAAAAAAGATGCTACAAAAATGCTACTTGATTAGATTCCGGCACAAATATGCCAACAGTCAAAAAAAGTTTTAGGTAGGCATTTGTAAGTTTGTTCCTCGTTACTCTACGGTGCGGCTTGGTAAGAATGAATTAAAATTGGAGAACTGAATTTTTTAAATTTGATGAATTTAATTGAGTTGTTTGATATGTTAAAAAGATGGAGTTTAAAATTTCATTAATTTTTTTAATGTTTGTGGTGGTAATGGTCCTGGTAGCCATGCAGTGGTAGCGGTGGTGGTGGTTGTGTGAGGTAGGATAAAGTTGCTGAATATGGTGGTAGTAGTGGTAGTGGAGTGATGGCAGCAGTTGTATGGTGATGGTGATGGTGATGGTGATGGTGATGGTGATGGTGATGGTGGTAGCAGTGGTGACATAATGGTAGAGCTAAGAGGGGTGGAAGTGGTGGAGTGACAGTCGTGGTGGTGGTAGCAATGGTGACAATGATGAAAGAGGTAAAGAGGTGGTGGCGGCGATGGTGGTGGTAGTGAAGTAACAGTGGTGGTGGTGACAATAGGTTTGATTGTGTCGCGAAGGTATTAGCCACAGACCATACTTTCGTAAAAGCACCATTGGTGTGACAGTGGTGATGGGAACATTAGTGGTGTTTGTGTCGGTGGTGATATGGTGGGGTAGCTGTGGTGACAATGGAATGGAGGGGTGGTGATGATATTGGTAGTAGTGGAGCGACAGTGGTGCTGACAATAATGGTGATGGCAGTGATGAATGTACACTTTAGCAATGGCATAATCATGACAAATTAAAAATTGAGAACTCAGTTTGGGAAGTGGCCTTTTTAATGTCTTTTTGACTAAAATATAAAATAATGTCTAATTAGTACACATTAATGTGTGTTTGGGAGATGAAAGATTGAATACACACCTAACCTTTGGCATAATGCACAAAGTGGTGATCCCAAGACTTTTTTGACTAAAATATGGGGCAAAAAAAGCATATATGTTTAGGAAAGACTTTTTTTGGCTTTTTACGGAAAAATGTGCAAAAAATAGTGTAAATGAAAAGGAATCTTTGACTTTTTTTAAGAATTGAAAACTAGGAAGCACGAATACGGGATACAAATACGGTAATACAACAAAATCTAAAAAAATAAGATACGGATATGGTAGTGATACGTAAAAAATATATTATTATAATTTTTAATAATGTCGTATGCATAAAATAAAACAACAAACAAGAGTCCAAATACCAAACATGTAATGTACCAAGTTTACCTCAAGATCAGTTGCACCATCCCCAATCATGACTAATGCCTTGTATCCATGAACCTGCAAAATCAAATAAGATCTAGAATCAATATTCTTCATATACCGACACATGTAATGGAAGGCCATGATACCAACCTTCCTTATCTGTTGAACTGCAGTGGCTTTCCCTCCGCTCCTTGAAGTAGGCTCATTTGTATCAAACCCCAAAAACTCCCCAGAATTTTCAAACAGTAGTTGATTGGCAAAAATATTTTCTGGTGGAATATCAAGGATCGATGCAACAGGCTTCAAAAGAATTAACTTGGTTAGTAATATTGAAACAACTGGAAATGTAATATATACCTCCAACTCAAATACAAACACATATGTACAAGGATTCCAAGAAATGCTAAACACATCACTTGGCTGCTGCTAGGCGAGGTGTTACTTGAAGTCCCCTTATTTAAAAATAAAAAATAAAAAAACATAAATACCAAACAGTTCATTGATTCCCATAAAATGACATTCTTTTCTTTTTATTTGAAAAGGGAGAAAGCATTGCAAATATAATATAAGCATAGTCTGATTAAATTATTAATACATCTCCTTGACTGCATAAAAGTACTCATTGACATGAACTTGAACTAACATCTCAGTCAATTCCACACATTAAAATCAACCGCTTGTTAGTTGCATTTGTTTTTCTGGGCAACCACAAAATCTAATCTTGGTTGAGCACATCAAATGCTGTCTTATAAGAAGCTGCTGAGTGCAAAGATCACATGTATGAGAATGTGCATGAATAAAATCCATGGCATATATGGTGCAGCAGCGTTTGGTCATCTTAGTAAAATCTAACAAATGAATATAATGTAGCATCTCATAATTTTATAAATTAATACTATTTACAAATTTACAATTATAATGCTCTGCATATCTAAGCCCAAGATAGACACCTGAGTCCTGAAAAATTATCTGTTAAGCTTTTGTGTTTCAAGATTGAATAGAGCTAATGCAAGCTAGTTCCTCCATGCTCATTATGGACAAAACTAAAAGTTTCTTCTGCTGAATGCTTAAGAAAAAAAATGATAAGCCAGAAGTAACCACTCGGTGGTTCAGCAACATACATTGATCATTTGACGAAAGCCTCCAGAGACCAGATAAACAGCGGTACCTTTAGCCTTGAGCTTCTTGACCAACTCATCTATGCCAGGAGAAATCCTACACATCAGAGAATAAGAATGGGAAGCCATATCCAAAACTACAGATACACTTCAATTTCTCATCAATCTTTTAGACATCCAAATATTGGGCTAAATTTGGCCAATGTTTATTGTTTTACACTTTGATGTCTTACAACATTTCAGTTATTACTGCAGTTCTTTTTTTAAGAATATAAATCACATGTTTTATGCTTATTACTCACTGGAACAAACAAAAGAAAATAACGTAGACATGATTTGGGTACATAATTAACAAAGAAACAAATTTAAGAGGAGGGGGGGAGGGGGAGGGGGGGATTAAGTACAAGCCTTTATTTGAAAACACTGCAACCACCCACCACCACCTCAAATCCACGCTTCATAGCTATAATGGTATGATATATGTATGAACAAATACAAACACACATAAATGCATATATATATACGTACGCACATCCTAGTAATGTTACAAAGACTTAACTAAACCAATTGAGGGGGTTGATACCAAACTTCAAGAGAATTAAAATTTGAATATGCCACCATGATGAACCTAAACGTTAGCTAATGTAATTACTGACTCAATCAAAAAATGCAGACAAGATATGGTAATTTAGTGGGCAAAAAGTACTTGACTAGTCTAAAAATAAAAACTTCTGATATGGCACAAAATAACCAGGTCAGATAAAAAATCTCACAATTTTGAGCCATCTACAAGTCTAGTAGAGTTCATATCTCCTTTTCTAACTATCCCATTCTTGCTAAAGGTTTTGGCATGTTGGAATACCACGTAACATATTCATATTTTTGCAAATGCTACTAGCAGTATTACAAATTAAACAATTGGAGGAAAAGGATATATATAAATTTGTTTAAAAACCATTGTAAGGGGAAGGTCTAACTGAGAAATAGATTATCTACAAAGGCGAAGCTAGGATTTGATTTTAGGGGAGGCCAAGAACAATGATTCAATTGAAAAGTCTCGTACAAAAGTATAAGTAGCAAATAAAAATAAACATTATTATATATAAAACAAAAAAATTAAATGATAAGGAAAATTCATCAAAAAAGGTTATTTTATGAATTCATGAACATTCATAATAAGTTTACAAAGCACATGTCAAAACTTTCCTAAAAAACTATATGCATCAAAGTATGAATGGTTAAATTTTACTACATCATATAAAAACCTTTGAAAAATCAAGGGGGTCCAAGGAAAATGTCCATTGATTATAATGTAAAAGAGTAGGTCCTATGTACTATACTATGTATGGCTGTTTCAAAAATCAGGGTATCTTTGCCCCTGATTGTCTGGTCAATGTAAAGAAAAACAAATATAGATTTCAAATTAAACAGATAGCCTATGATAAATAAGTGCATTTTGTAGTGGTGTGTTTTCAATTTTTCATTGAAGTTAAATGTGTGTGTTGTGTTTTTTACACATCATCTCATGTAAGTTCCTTGTTTCAAATTGAATAAAACTACTTATTTTTCATTGATTTTATCTAAATTAAAGAAGTTTACAATTAGAAAGGTTAATCCCAAACCATTAGAAGACATATTTGTGTTTAAAGCTACATTAAACATCATGGCCTGATTAGCCTCTTGGGATACAGGGGATGGTTCTTAAGCAAACAAAGCAAAGCAAGAAATAGTTTAGAATCAAATAGAGACCTCATACCTTGGGGGATGCTGGGCAAGGAAATCTTGGACTTGGGAGAGGGAAGGATTAAATAGGGATAGCCTAGCAGCTAATGCCTCCTCAAAAGGAACAGAGCCACCCATTGCCCTGCAGAGAAACCAGATTTAAAAATCATATGAACTACAACATTACAAAAATTAATAAATCATTATTGAATGGCAAGGACATCAAACCTTGCTGTCCATTCTGCAACAGCCTTTCCAGCCCCACAAAATTCAGCAAGTTCATCAATGCCCTCATCCAGGCAAACTGTGCTATCCACATCAAAGCAGACCGCATCTGCCTTTTGCCACACCTCAAGAATCTCTACAAATTTAAGAAAGCATTCATCAAGTACAGCACCATAAGTTTGAAGCATCAATAACCAGAATGTAAGATCAAGTATTCAACAACTTAATCTATTACTCGTTCTGCCAATCTTTTATTTGATGAGCAATACATCAAACTTTTTCACAATAGAAATAAGAATTTGGTACACTGGCTAGAATATTCAACTCAGTTCAATACAAAAACCAACCTATTTTTTCAAATCCTGTTCAAGGAATGGAACATATCAGCTATATGTAGAAAACAAAAGAACAATTAATTGCATTCTTGAATATGACCTTTTGATGGTAATGTGTTGTCAAGGCGGCTGGCTGCTGAGCTTTCCAAGGGCTGAACTGAAGCAGCTACAGAATTCAATGATTTGGGATGCTTCATCATCCCAATTGGAGTTAGAAGAACTCTTTTCACTAGCCGCGGTGTATAAGTTGGAATAAAAGGAGACTGATGCCTTCTACAATAAGCACGAACTGGGTTGATTCGTGCAATGATCAACCCTTCCATCTAATTATCTGCCACCAACAAATTCAACATGCATTTTAACAATTGCAATCCTATTAATCACTTTTGGTAATCACTAATGTCAATCATCTGAAGATTTCAACCCCTTTACTACCTTGGAAGTTGGAACAACACATAACCACAACAAATGACTGATAATAAATCACATAAGCAACAGTACAAGGATTAAGCCACAATTGGGTAATGCATTACGAGTGTGTGGAGTCCATCTTCTTTTACCACATGATGTGGCACACACACACATTAGTGGGATATTAATGACAACAATAGACTCCACATGAATGTCATTAATATCTAAGGGCATCTCCAACCCTAGACTCAAACCTATATCAAATTTAAATAGGTGAAAATCACTCCAAAACATCTCCTTTCCTTGAAAAACTTATATCAAATTAAGTTTTACCCTTTACCCAAATCAAGGGAGAGTCAAATGTTTACTCAATTTTTACAAGACCATTTTGTAACTTTCAAATTTTCAACTTCGGCATTACTAAAGCTTTTACTCAAATTGATGCTTAAATCTGAGTTTGTTCATTAGAGTTCTTCGTATTAAATAAAGCCTTTACACGATTTTTTAAAAACTAATTTGGCCAAGGACTGGAGATAAAATGTGGTAACAAGATGGTCATTCTAGCATTATTGATGTCTAATATTCAGCCAAGAGCACAAATGTCAAATTTACAAAAATAAAAAAATATCAAACATTATTCTATGAAACATCATAGATACATACATAATTACAAATACACATATAAATGAGTGGAAATTCAGCCAACAGCACAAATGTCAACTTAAAAGAAAAGGCACAAATGTCAAATTAAAAGAAAAAAAAAAAAAATTATTCTATGAAACACCATAGATACATGCATAATTACACATACAAACACAAAGCTTTAACCTTGGCGTGATTCAACAATGTAATTGAACGAAGATTTGAGGATGCCCGAAATGGTCCAAATCTATATAAATTTTGAAATTTTTTGGGAATGAATTGGAGATTTGCAGAGATTGGTGAGATCTAGGAGAGAGAAAGATCAACGAGGAAAGAGAAGACCTGGCTATGGCAGCGCAAAGACGACGAGATGGGTAGTTGGTTGTAGAAGTGTCCTCTCCCTCTGTGTGTGTATACATAGATGGGTGGTCTGTGCGAATGGGGTTGGTGAAGGACAAAGACGAGTGAATTTTTCTGGTACAAATGCAACCAAAAAACAAAAAAAAAAAACAATTGAAGAAAATGTTTAACACCCACAAAATAATTCTCGCAATTGTATGCGATATTATGCCCTAGTTTAGCATGGTTATTACATTAAAATAATTATAAAAAATAAAATAAGTTAAATTAATAAAATAAAATATTATATTTAAATTATAATTATTTTATTTTATTTTTTATAAAAGTTAAAAAATTTAACCAAAATGAAACTTTTTAACCACAGGATAAAAAACTTAAAAAGTCAAAAAACTCACTCACTTTTCAAACGAAACCTATATGTGTCAAACTTCTGATTTGTTACTCATCTAATTTCACTCCTTTGTCCTATATTGCGCCCTGGGGGTGATAATGTAAACCGTCCATATTTTAAATTTCACAATGAAGATTGTTTGTGCAAAAAATCAACTTCAGCGAATATCAATGAATACATAAGTAAATCACTTTTTGATTTATATAATGGAATGTTTAAATTTAAATTCACAATTACTGTTCATTTTAAAAAACAATATCAATTTATTTATATATTTAGTAATATCCGATGAAAATAATTTTTTTCAAAACTCATCTAAATTGTTATGATTACGAGGTGAACAGTTTTGATTATCAATGTGAGCTTAGAATGAAATCAAAAAAATAAAGTATGGAAGGGAGCTATTCCTATTATTGTGGGTAGTTTCTTGGATGTGAAAGTGTAGGTCTCTAACATAATTTAAAAAAAATGTTTTCTGATCAATAATTGAGAAAAATAAAATAAATTGGAAATATGAAAGTTAATTGTAAATCAGTTTTTTTTTTTTCTCTTTTTTTTTTTTTTTTTCTCCCCATTGATGTGCAGTTGATTTTTAAAATTTTAATTTATCTGAGAATTTATTAATAAATTAAAAGAACTTTAAGAAGAAAAAAAAAATTATAAAAACTTTAAGAATCTAAAATAATTGCATCTTACATGAAAATATTAAAAAAAAAAGGGAGAAAATATATTTTAAAAAATTCAGGATTTGATTCTTATAACAAAATTGACAAAATTAAAAATTCAAGATTTGATGATTTCTTAATTTGTTAAAAAAGAAAAAGAAAAATATAACTCTCTTAATTTGATGAACATTTGATAAAAGAATTAAAATTAATTTTTGAATATTTTTTTATGAAATTTAAATTTAATAAAAGAAAAGATGAAAATTTGATTCTCTTAATCTTTCGTTGCATTATTAGTTTTTAAATTTACACCAAATGATTCCCAAGTCAAAGTGCACAGATAATTGTAGCATAGAATTATGAAAAGGTCTAAAGGATTATTTCACATCATTCATCAAAAGAAAGACAAAATAACAGTGGGATACATTATTTTAGCCAATAATATTGATGCTGGGGCACCATCAAGATTTTATCTTGGAAGAGCAAGGTTAGAGACTCATACTTTAGATTTACAAATTCACCCATAATAATGTGGTAAGGGAGTTGAGCTCTATATTATTGAATGTATAACAAATTAAAAATTGACACATATCATATCATATCATTGTGAGTGTTGAAATTATGATTTTTTATAAACTTATTTTGGGTCAACTTTGAGTCCAAGTTGGAGTAGGTCCCAAACGTCTTTTAGGGTGGGTCTAAAGAGGTGACGTGTTCGTTGCAGCATGACAAGTCAAACGGTGAAAACGGTGCGTCAACCATTTATGAGTGAATGGAAAGTTGACGTTGTTTTCAGATTTGTAGAATGGACAATTAAAGAATAAAATTTGGGTTTTCTTGTAAGGCTTGTTCCACATTGAAAACTTAAGAGAATTTATGTGTGTATATAAGTTCAGGGTAGCAACACTTGAGTCGGGCCCTAAGGGGCACCCTAAGTTTGTTAAAGGGAGGAGTTATGAACAAAATGAACATTGGCTCAAACCACCACACGCGGGTGTGGGTCGGGTCTAATATTAATTTTTTAGACAAAATTTATTTGAATTGTTTCCAAAAATTCTTGTGGGAAAATATTTTCCATTGTACGAGTTTTTTATCGATGAATACATAAATAAATCACTTTTTGATTTATAGAATGAAATGTTTAAATTTAAACTCACAATTAGCTTCAATGGATATCGATGAATACATAAACAAATCACTTTTTGATTTATAGAATAAAATGTTTAAATTTAAACTCACGATTACTGTCCATTTTAAAAAATAATATCAATTTATTTATATATCTTGTAATATCCAATGAAATTATTTTTTTTTTAAAATTCATCTAAATTGTTGGGATTATGAGATGAACATGTTAAATTATAAATGTGAGCCTAAAATGAAGTCTAAAAAATAAAGTATGAAAAAATATGAAAGATAATAGTATGGAAGGGAGCCATTCCTATTATTGTGGTGCCTTCGTGGATCTAGAAGTTTGGGATTCTAATATTATTCAAAAAAAAAGTTTTCTAATGAATAATGGAAAAAATTCAAATAAATTGAAAATATGAAAGTTAATTGTAAATCAGTTTTTTTTCTTTTTCTCTTTTTGCTTTTCCCTCCATTGATGTGCAGTTGATTTTTAAAATTTCAATTTATCTGATAATTTATTAATAAATTAAAAGAACTTTAAGAGAAAAAAAAATAATTGTAAAATTATAAGAATCTAAAATAATTGCATCTTACATGAAAATATTAAAAAAAAAGAGAAAATATATTCAAAAAAATTTAGGATTTGACTCTTATAACAAAATAAATTCTATTTTTTATTTTATCAATTTAAATACTAAATTTTGAGTTATTATCAATCTAAATTATTTATCTATTTTCGTTCGTTAAGTAAAGTTGAAAAATAGAGAGGTATTTTATTTGTTAAGCTTAATAAAGTAATATTATATACGCCAACATTGAATTTAATGAATATTATTTTTCTATCAATTTTATTTAACAAAAATAGACTAATTGGTGATTTTGATTGATTTTTTTTAAAAAAATTACTATTTAAATTGACAAAATTAAAAATTCAAGATTTGATGAGTTCTTAATTTGAGAAAAAATAAAAATAAAAATATAACTCTCTTAATTTGATGAATATTTGATAAAAGATTTGAAATTAATTTTAAATATTTCTTTATTAAATTTAAATTTAATAAAAGAAAAGATGAAAATTTGATTCTCTTAATCTTTGTTGCATTATTGGTTTTTAAATTTGCACCAAACGATTCCAAGTCAAAATGCACAGATAATTGTAGCACATAATTATGAAAAGTGAGTTCGTTGTCTAAAAGTATTACTTCACATCATTCAAAAAAGACAAAATAATAATGAGATACATTATTTTAGCCAATAATATTGATGCTGGGCACCATCAAGATTTTATCCAGGAAGTGTAATGTTAGAGGCTCATACTTTTAAATATATAAATTCATTTATAATTATGTGGTAAGGGAGTTGGGTCATATATTATTGAGCGTGTAACAAATCAAGAATTGACACATATCATACCACATCACTGTGAATATAATTGTATAAATTTTTTATGGATCTCAAATATTTTCTTATTAAGGAACAAGTAAATTCTATGTACTTAAAAAGTTTAACCACATATAAATGATCCCTAGGGTTAGATCCTAAGAGAGTCAAGACCCAAAGGCCACCATTAAGTGTCATTAGTATGGCCGTTCAATTATATAGTGATTAGTTACAGGCTCACACATGAGTTAAAATTTGAATCCATACTTCTAACATTAGATACGATTCACACAAATCTAAAAAACTCATCCTACTAATATTATGTGTTGGTGCTCCTCACCCAAATAATTGTCTCAAAAAGAGTTGAACGTACAATGTGGATATAATATCCAAAATCTTTCCACTCAACCAAGTCCTTGTATTGATTTTTCTCTCGTAAAACGTCAGTTACTGAATGTAAGGTGATTACAAATTAAAAAATGATATACAAATTATTTTTTAGACTCATTTTATAAATTTAGTGATATATCAAAAAAATATTTGATTAATAATTACAAAATATTTAATTATTAATCAATTATCTTCTTAATATATTACTAAATTTAAAAAGTAAATTTAATTTTTAAATCTGAATAACAATTCTCATAAAAAAATTTTGTGGATGACTCTTGTATTACTTGTATCAGCTGAGCAAGAGACAGCTCACTCACCACCATGCAACAAGAAACATGTCAAATTACCAAGAAGACACAAAACTCTCTCTCTCTCTCTCTCTCTGAGGACTTTTTTAATTGTGTGGATGCATTGTTCTCTAACTCCACCTGCTCTTTCTTTCCTTCCTACTCTCTCCACCTCCACCCACTCTACTGTAATCTCTCTGTCTCTCTCTCTCTCTCTATATATATATATATATACCATTTGCCATAGCACACCTATCTCTAATTAAGAAACCTCAATTTGCTCTTGTTCATACCCAATCTCTCAATTTTCTTTTCCTCCAATTCCATTGTTTTCCATTATATATAATCCCACATTTTCTCGAGAAGAAAGAAAACATCTCATTTTCCGGGAAACTGCAAAGAAAAGTGAAAACAACTCATGAATGGGTTTACCACTCCGCCCAAAAAATTTTCTCCTCTTCTTTTTCTTCTTCTTTCCATTGTGGTCTAATTGTTTCTGAACCGGTCTCTCCGGTTCAGAACAGTTTTGCCTCCGGTTCTCTACTCTACTTTCTAGCTATGGAGAAGAACCGGAGGGAGTTGCATGGAAATGGGGAGGCGGAGGTGGCTGGAATGGCAATCGAACGGCTGAGATTTGTTGATGAAGGAGTGGATGGAGGGTTGAGGATGGAACAAGGGCACCCTGGAGAGCGGTTCGACCCGACTCGCGAAATCTAGACCCCGGTCATTCCCGTCGATCAACAGCGGAATATCGATTTTGGTTACTGCATCGGTGAGCACGTGGAAGTTCAGTGTAGTCTTTTACGGCGTCGTTTTCTTTTAAAGATGTTATTTCTCTCACCAAAAACAGGACTAACTATGTTCAAATCTACAATTTTTTTCTCCCTTGCTATAAATATATAAAATTTTGACAAATATACACAAAAAATTCAGTACTAATAGCACATATATATTATCTATGAGGTTAGTCTGAATGGCAAAGTTGTTCAAATCTTTTCACTTGTGAGTCTTTTTATTCCTGTGTTATTATTATTATTTTTTAGATGTATTAAATTATACATATGCACTCAGATTTACAAATACGAGTGTTTGGTAAGTGGGTTTTTATGTATATTTTTTAGTTGTAGGTTATTATTAAAGAAAAAAATTTTGATTTTTGAGAAGATAGTTGATTTTTTTGTGATTGGATGTGATGTTTGTGAGAGAAAAAGTGAAATGATTATGGGGTTGGATGTGATATTTTGTTTGGATTTATTTTTTTGAATTTTGTAAAAAGTTTGTCTTTTAGTAAAAAAAAACAAAAAAAAACCTAACACACAAACTTCCCAAACACCACCATACATGTACAAAGTAAAAAAATAAATAAAGTTTGTTTTCATTTTTTAGAAAACACTTTTCAAAAAATTCTACCTTCTTATTTTCTATTTTTTTTTGTTTTTACTGATTTTTATTTTAAGCAATTTTTTTACTTTTTAAAGACACCCAACATAAATACACCTAAAAAGTAAAAAAATCTTTTAAAAATTCACTAAATACCAAAAAAAATATATATATAAAAATTCAGTACATTTTTTGTATTTTTATGTATTTATTAATTTTTTAAAATATTTTTTCACAAATTTTTTACTTTTTAGATACATCGTGCATCTAAAAAAGTAAAAAAAAATGTTTATAATTTAAAAAATATTCACTAAAAACAAAAGAATACGAAAATCAAAAAACTCAATTTTCAAAAAATTTAATCTAGAAAACTCAAACCGAGCACACTGTGATTCTCGTACATTTTGTCCTATTTGTAAAAAATTGATACATTTTCAATATCTAAATTTTACATTTTTATCCTTATTTTTTTAACTACTTTGAACAAAAATCATTCAATGCTCTCATTTTCGACATTTTTAACTAAAGAAGTCACATAAAAGATGAAGAAATTATTCAGTGCTCATGAAGAGTTTAGGTGCCCAAAAGTCTGAACGATATGACTCATCATTTTTGTATTGATATTTTAATAAAGAATATACATATATATATATATATATACACATTAATTAGTAATAGAATGGAATATTGGTCAGAACGTTACTAATAATTTTTTTTGAAAGACGAAGGATGAGATTGGCTTCATCTCTCTTCCAATCGACCAAAGTGGATCATGTTGGCTCTACTCATTTTATTATTAGTGTTCTGATCTGATTAGTTCAGAAGCACCACATCACTGTACTGAATTGATAATCAAATACATTACTCCTAATTTGACATGTTTTGGCTAATTTTATAAATAGATTTGATTTATCTATGAACTTTGTACATCTTTTCCTGGGTAGGTATGCAAAAGACACCAGAGTTTGCTAATGAACTTTTATTGGCACTAAGAGGAAGAGTAGAACAAGTTGCAGAAATCACAAAAGCAGAACTCCACAAGCATTGGCATTGCATTACCAATCCCAGCTTCAGTTCGAGAGTACAACTCTTTTTCAACTTGTAATTATCCATTTTTCATTGGCAAATCAATTATCCTCTCTAGTTTTTGCAAACTTCTCCGACTTTTGAATAGTCGAAGCAAGAAATTTATGTAAAAGTCGAAACTCTAAAAGGAGAATTGGGAATTTTTTTGATAGATCAGAGTGTTTTTCCTTGGTGACGGAAAATTTGCCCACCAGATTTTGCCAATTTGCAAATTCTTCCTCAATTAGTTAAAAGAATGAAATTGGCCAATATTATGACAATCCTAGGTAGCATAGATATCATTATGGGAGAAGTTGATCGTTGAAATGATAATTAATATAATTGGAGTACAAGTTACCAATTCTTTTTCTAGATTGGAATCCTTAAAAGAAGTCTATGGGATCATATGGATGTAATGCTACAACTGATTTGGTTAGACCATAATGCACATTTGCATTTGGGATTTGTCAATGGAAAGGAAATTACTCATAAATATTCCATGTTTGGTGGATAACCGAACAAGAAAAATGAATTTTCCTGCCAAATATAGCTATTCATTTTCTTAAACCAATTTAACCAAAAAAAAATACTGCATTTAATTTGTTCTTGTTTCTTTCCTTCAAACATAGCATAAATAATAATTAGTGAAAAGTTCAATATAGTTGTTTAAAGTCGTTCTAATTGGTACTCAAACGCACTAACTTGTTGGTCAAAACTCTTGCATGTAGCGTGATATTAGGTTATCTCTCTACTTTATGTCTTAGTCCTAATGTATTTATTTAGAATTTTTCTATCTTATTCAAGATTTTTTTAAAAAAATATTAATTACATGTTGATGTTATTTATTGAGTTTCATTATAATATTGATTAATTAATTAAAAAAAGTTGTAATTGGTGCAATGCCGCTTTCTCTGCAGGTGTGATAGAAATATGGATGGAAGGATTACTCACATGGAAATTAAGCAGGTCATATTCCAAACCCTATTTCTAAAGTTTAGAGGATATATTTATTAATAATTAATAAATTTTTTTAAAATATAGGTGGTGGTTTATGTGTAATTTTGGTTATTTTGCAGGCTATTTTGTTAAGCACCTCATCTAATAAACTCTCTGTGACTCAAAGAGAAGTAGAGCAATATGCTGATCTGATCATGGAAAAACTAGACACTCAAAGCCTGGGCTACATTGAGGTACATTTCTTTAAGTTGCCCTTTTTGGGATATGGCTTTTCTCTTTTGGTTAAAATAGTTAATAAAGGTAAAATAAGTTAAAATAGTCAATAAACTAAAATGTTATATTTAAATAATAATCATTTCACTTTTTCTTTCATAATTATCAAATCAATTACAAAAAAATAAAATAAATCAACGATCATCTCAAACACAACTTTTTTAACCAGTCTAAAATAGTCAAATAATTAAAAAGTCAACTAAAATAGGCAAGTTTGTAAATGGAGTGGTGTTTTCGTTTTCATTTTTCATTTTTAAAAACGTGTGTTTCCTAAAAGAAGTGGATTATTTTAGATAATTTTCTTGAAAAACGGTTTTTAAAAACACTTCGCCAAATAAATTTTACTGTGTTTTCTGAAAAATAAAAAACATAAAACAAAAATACAACCAAATAAGCCCTAAGATTCAGCATATTGAGATTTGAATAGTGTCAATTTAAATTTTTAATTATTTTGTAACACTAAATAATTGAATACCTAATTGAAGGTGTCCCAGCTAGAGACTCTCTTCAAACTAAACTCATCTGAAGGCCATTATTCAACTGATCTGAAATCATCAAGACCTGATCAAGATGAGCCAGGTAGAGAACCATTTTCGACGGCTGAGATCTTGTTTCGGACCCATTGGCGACGAGCATGGATAGTGATCTTGTGGTTGATTGTCTGCTGTGCACTCTTTGGATGGAAGTTCAGTCAGTATAGCCATAGGAAAGCATATGAGGTGATGGGCTATTGTCTCTGCACTGCCAAGGGAGCTGCTGAAACCTTGAAATTCAACATGGCTCTCATCCTTCTCCCTGTTTGCCGGAACACGGTGACTTGGCTCCGTAAGCACCGTCCGATTAGCTCGATCATTCCATTTAATGATAATATCAACTTCCACAAGGTAATTTTGAATTTAGTAATGTTACAAATCTGGAAAAATTTTCAGTAAATTGTCTAGGAACTCAAGAACTGATCACAACTCTCTCACATGGGAAGGGTCTCATCTTGTTGTGGGCCTCACACCCGTGTAAAGAAAATTGAGTGCGATTCTGTAATTAGTTTGTGTGCAAGTAGAATAATTAAAATTTTACAAAAAAGTATCCTGAACCAAGTTTTATATAGCTGTATCAGGCGGAGAGGAATCGGTATCGACCATAGTGATATCAAGCATTGAGTGATAAATATAGAAAAATTTAGCCAAAATCACTCTATTGGATCATTGTTTGGTGAAAAGTACAGCCCAATTTAAATTTCCTAAGGAGGAGAAGCATAATTGAGTATGGACAAAGCAAAATATCATTTTTTTCTTAGATAATATTGCCAAAATAACGTGTTATTATAAAACAAAGTAACATGTTTTTATGAAATAGAGTAACATATTACTGTCAAACAGAGTAACATGTTATTATGAAATAGGAGTAACATATTACTGTCAAGCAGAATAACATGTACTGTTTACATAAATTTCGACGGTAATATTTTTTTTTTATAAAGAATTTCATAGTCAATATGGATCTTATTTGATAGATCTTGGTGAAAAGATTTTAAAAATACTAATTTTATTAAAAACTGACATCTAGATCAAAAATTATATTATTTTAAAGTTTAATATTTTGGTAATAGTGATATATGTTGGACTTTTTAAGAATTTTTTTTTGTGCTTGTCGTTAATGCATTAAAATTTTATTATGAGGGAATTTGAACTAAATCCCCCATAAATATATATATATATATACATATCAAGAATTAAGTGTTGTTGCCATCATGAACATTTTTAAATCATCAACTGTAACAAAAAAAGAACATGAGTTTTGTAGCAACCGAAATGTCTATATTGATTGTGAACTGGCCATATCGATCATGAATAGACTATAGATCGATACATATCATGAATTGGCATATGTGCATGTGATTTTTACTACCAGTAGTATATCGGATGCATCAGTATCAGAAAATGTATCAACTATACATACTGTATCGAGCTTATCAGCCGAAATTTAAAATCATGATCCGAAATGCTACGTTTTTCTAAAGAGAATTATGTGCGTGTTGTTATTTCCTTCCAAATTCAACTGATAGTTATGGTTGGTGGTGAACGTGAAATTTCACATTACGCCATCCATGCACATATTAGTTACCATAGAAATGTTAATGCATGACATTTTGTAGACGATTGCAGGAGGGATAGTTATAGGTGTGATCTTACATGGAGGCACACACCTTGCCTGTGATTTCCCAAGGATCAGTGGCTCTGATAGCACAATTTTCCAGCAAACAATCGCTGCCCAGTTCAGGTACCATCAACCATCTTACATGGAGATTTTGGCTACAACCGAGGCTATGACCGGGATTGCTATGGTTATTCTAATGACCATTGCATTTTCTCTAGCAACAAAGTGGCCACGACGCCAGTCACCGTTGCTGCCTAGATCTATTCGACAAGTCACTGGATTCAACACCTTTTGGTACTCACACCACTTGTTCATCATTGTCTATGCATTGCTCATTGTTCACTCGATGTTTCTTTTTCTAACCAATGATGTTACTGAGAAGACGGTAAGTCAGCCGTTGTGTGTTTGTGTGTTCAATAATCTTCCCTATTGTTTTCTCTTGTCAATATTTTAGCCCACAATACATTTGATTAGTGGATAAGAAGGTTGGGACAGGATTATTTTATTCCAAAACAAAATTATTCTACATTTGATTAAAATTCTGTAACTTAGGATATCCTAAGGGCCCTTATATATGTGAGATTATTTTGTCTCGGAAATAATGGGAAAATTTATCTCAAGATTAGACATTCATTGTAAAATGACTAGAATACCCTCCTCAGAATAACTTGTTCCCACCTAGACAAATTGCAGACATGGATGTACATTGCCATTCCAGTTTTATTGTATTTTGGAGAGCGAACATTTCGAGCTATACGATCAGAGTTGAGAGGCGTGAAGATTCTAAAGGTGCTTAATTTATTTGATAGAATTTTTTTTCCTACAAAATTCAGTTCCTTAATTGTTATATTTAATTTGTTCCTAATCATTTTCAGGCAACAATTTTCCCGGGAAAAGTTCTATCCCTGAAATTAGGCAAACTAGAAGGGTTCAAGTACAGAAGTGGCATGTATGTGTATATCCAATGCCCTCAAATTTCCCCATTTGAATGGTAATTTTTAACAATCCTAATCCCAATTCCAAAGAGATAGAATCATTTTATTGTATTTCGCATAAAACGTCCATGAAATGTCGTGGCCAATTTTTTGTTGCCACTTTCCATTCTTCCTAGTTTGGTATCGTTTTCGTTTTTTTAACTTTTATTTTCCAGCAACAATATTTCAAGTTTACCATTTAATTCCGTCCTCACTGAAATAAAAAATTTTCCTTTTAGGATCTCTCCTGCTACTATTGGATGTCCAATAGTGAGAAAAACTATAGCGCCCATAGTTGTGTGGGCCGATAACTCATCTAACAATTGGATATCTAGAGAGAAGCCTCTTGATAACTGTTCTCGCTAAATCTATGATGTAATTAAGCAAGTTTTTATATATATATTTGTTCTTGCTTTCTAACACACACACACACACACACACACACACAAAGCCATTTCTTTTGACTTTTTTGCCCCCTTCTTAGGCACCCATTTTCCTTAACATCTGGACCAGAGGATGACCACCTAAGTGTGCACATTAGAGCTCTTGGAGATTGGAGTTACCAGCTATATAGTCTCTTCCAAGAGGTAACAAAAAGGGAGGCAAAAATAGAAACATTTTCCCACAAATTAGAGGTAAAAATCATACGAAATATTCCAAATTGACTCGTGTACATAGGCCATTGTCTCTGCAGGGACCATGGAGTACCCTAGAATATACATAGATGGACCCTATGGTGCAGCTTCTCAAGACCATATCAAATATGATATCGCCGTATTTATCGGCCTTGGCATGGGAGTCACACCTTTCATTAGCATCCTCAGAGACATTAACTGTATTCAAACACCACATCATGATCATGTAAACAACTCTTTGTTTCCGGTTTTTTCCTCTTTCGATACTTTCTTTGTTGAAGTTAACTTGCAAAATTTGGACGCTGACAAAAGTGAATTTTTTATACTTACATAGAACTGCAGAGAATCCGGTGCTAAAAATTGCCCATCAAAAGCCTATATGTATTGGGTTACAAGAGAACAATGCTCCTTCAAATGGTTTAGAGATGTCATTAAGGAAATAACAAAAACAAGCCTAAAGCAGGTAAAAACGACAATGATTCATTCATGAGAGTTATCAATGCTGTCATGGAATAATTTTTTTTTTCTTTAACTGAATTTACTAGAACAAAAAATGCATGCATAGCCTAAATAAACTAATTACTCAATGCTATAACAATATATGAGATTTATTACTTGATGAGTGTTGTGATTGCCTATATAACCCTTCCAGGATGTGATTGAGATGCACAACTTCCTAACTAGTGTTCATGAAGCTGGGGATGCAAGATCAACTTTAATAAGTGCAATCCAAGCCATGCATCATGCCAAGAATGGCATCGACATTGTTTCACGAACTCAGGTAAGTTTAACCAATTAAATTATCAGCACATCACACCTATTATCACATGAGTAACCATTCTGTAGTCTTGGAGCACCAACTCAACACATTAATATTTTTGCTAAGGAGTGCCACATGCACATGTTTAGTGAAGTGACCTAAAATATACATGTCTAGCTAATACCAATTCAGTTCAGTCAAGCAGTTTTTTCGTTTCTTTTGTTTTGAACTTGGGTGCTCTTGTTTTTAGGTACAAACACACTTTTGAACTTGGGTGCTCTTGTTTTTAGGTACAAACACATTTTGCTCGACCCCATTGGCTCAAAATCTTTTCAAATTTGGCACGTCAACATGGAGGAGCACGGATAGGTGAGATGAAATCAAAATTGTATTCATGCACGATTTTAGGTTAAAAGTAACTTAACGCTCCAAGTTTCATTTATCATCTGGTCAATTAGTAGCTCAAAAGATTTTGTTGTGAAGTTGAGGTTCAAAATGTTCTCTTTTGTTTTTGGTTTAGGGTTGAATGGCTAGCTTTTAGGTTGATTACCAATTAGTATGTTGATTTTTGTTTTGGTTAGTTGTTTACTTGGTGTGCGGGTTTGCTTGCAGGAGTTTTCTACTGTGGACCATTGGAGTTGGCAAGAGAATTGGAGAGGTTGTGCACCAAACTCTCAACCAAAAACACCACTAGATTTGTATTTCATAAGGAGAACTATTAGGTGCTTCTTTGACCAATTCTGGTTTCTTCTACCAAATTCCAGAAATTCAAAAAAAAAAGGCATTACCAACTACAGGGTTTAGTTGTATTCAGAGAGGGAAAAAAACAATTAGTTTGCATCCTTTGCCTCTAGATGAATTGAATGAAATAATTGCATAAATTTATTCTATATGGTTACTATGATGACATTAAAGTGTTTTCTATCCACGTGACAAACAAATTTCAGATGAAAAGGATGCAAATGTTATGTGAATTAAAATCATAAGGGAGTTCAATGTAATTATGCCAAATTTGTGAAACTTTTATTGTATTTACCAAACCTCAGGAAATTAGTGTAATTTGGAAGCTACAAATGCTAGATTACAATTAAAAGAAACCCAGCTGATCATTAAAATTTTTGAGAACTAGAATACACTCCAAAGCCATTCAACATATACTTTTTCTTTAATCAAAAAATAAATAAATAAATAAAAATTATTGATATATCAAAAAGAAGAATATAAGGATAAGGCATCCCCTACAAATAAGAGAACAAAGAAAGAAAATATGAAACACAAACAATCCTTTCAACCATATATAACAAGGAAGGGGGGGAATTCCAGAGTAATATAAACCGTAAAGACAATCTTCTTCAGACAAAAAGTTGACCTATTGAGATTACTAGAGCAGCCAAAAAGTAACTCACAAAACTGACAACAGGCATCACCATTGTATGCTCTTCACTAAGGTTTATTTCTTCATCATCAAAGTGGTGGCAAAAATTGGTGCGACTAGCCCTCCAACGCAGATGCCCCAGAAATAATCTCGATCAGTTCGGTGGTGATAGATGCTTGACGGGTTCTATCAATGACAGTAATAAGGTAGATCAGATAGACAAAAAAAATAAAAACAAACTTAAATGTATGAGCAGCAAACATAAAATAATCCAAAACTCAGAGAAAGAGAGAGAGAGAGAGAGACCTGTTATAAGTAAGTGTGAGGCGATCAAGCATCTCGCCAGCATTTCTGCTGGAATTATCCATGGCAGACATCCTTGCTCCTTGCTCACTGCAAGCGTTCTCCAAAATCGCATTGAACATAACCTGTGAAAATTGTCAAATTTTGTTTCCCATTAAACAAAGCTTGGAATTGATAAATCTAACTACAAACATCTTTTAGCTGCATGAAATGTCAGTACAAGCCCAATTCCACAATCATTAAAAACGTAAAACGGAGAGCCTACTTCCAATGATTAATTGTCCATATATGTACTTAATTGTTATATGAACCATACAAACTTGAGAATTGAGTTAAATTGCACTAACACCCAATAAAATCATATTTTAGTAAAAGAAAAAGGATTAAAGATCAAAAATAAAAATATTAGAGTACAACTTAAATAGCAACTCCTATGATTTCCTTTTAAGAACACTACCACCTCTTGTTATTTCCTTCAATCTTATTGTAGAGTTCATTTATCACCCTGCATAAAATATCCTGAGAGACGTGGCATCAAAAATACTATGGCACAAGGAATGCTACAGAGTACAGACGAAGTATCAAAATATTGATGCAGTTTCAATGAGTATGAAACCAGTGTTTACTTCAATGTGAAAAAGTATAAAGGATAAAATTGTTAGGCTTGACTATTAGTAAGTAGTTTGACAAAAAGCAAGCAAATAAACTCAAGAAAAACTCGACTGGTGCATAAGAACAACGAAGGTTTATTAACAAACATACTTGGAGTGTCATCAAGAAGTGCAGTAAATGGCTGCCATAGGCCACGGGAATTCTCAGTTCTAACTTGAATTGCTCGCAACTTATATGCTGCAACCATTTTCATTGCCTTTGTAATTTTCTGGATATTCTTAACACTCTTCATCTGGTTTCGGACTGCATAAATAATATTCACAATCAACAGTCACAAGAAAGAGTACATTAGCAGAAAGGCAGAAATCAGTAAAGTTTAATGTCACAGCAAAAATATAGCAGCGGCAAATGGAATAATGCTCATTCTAAGCAACTTAGGTTGAAATAGAACGGACTCCAAAAGAGGCCTGCTCCCTGCCCACCCAAGCTAATTTGTTAGACAACTAGAAGTGCAGTCAGAGATGATAAAAAAACTTCTAGCAGTGAAATGAGAAATCAGACTTGACTGTCTATTATGCAAGATCAAAAAGAAATTCTTATTGTAATAACAATCATGAAAATAGAATCAACTTCAGACTCTCACTTAATGGTGGTAATACGTGTATACATCTAACATGGAATCCAATATCAGCTCCCATTACTTGGAAAATCCTTTTAAAGAAAATCAATTAGCACAATTCCCAATTATCAAGAAAATGAACACTGCCTGAATTTGATAAGCCCTATACTTTCTGTAGCTTTTTGTCCATCTGGGTCAGTGACTACATGGAATTCCTAACATCCTAGCTGAAAATTGAAACTTAAAGATGTGACATATAGAAACCCTAATTGGCTCCACCTATTTCCAGTTCTTGCACACGCAAAATTGATTTACCTTCTCCTAATGCTGTGTTTGGTTGGGGGATTTGGGGAGGGATTTGAAAAGGGAAATGGAAAAGGTAGGTGAAATGTGAATAAATCATGCCTATATTTCACATAGTTTCACACACCTTTTCCCTTTCCCTTTCCAAATCCCTCCCCAAATCCCCCAACAAAACACAGCATAAATGAATTCGATATCTAACATTTCATATTGGCTTTTTGTACCCATGCTTCTTAAGAATGGTGCAAAAATCCTTGTGTAGTTGTATTCAAAAGGAAACACAGTGTGTTACTTCCATTGAACACTAGAGCAAACCTTTACCATGCTTCTGTCGTAATGAGTGCTAATTGAGTGTGTAAACACAAATTTCGTATCCTGCCATTAAGACACGGAATAAATACATAAATAATTAATTTTATTTGATTATAATAAAGGGGTACAATTTTCTGTAGTTTGCTCTATTACAAAATAACAAATCTTCTGATTCGATCTTCGAAATTGGTGTAATTCAACAGCTGTAAAAGCTTATTGTTGAACTAAACAAGTTGTTGAATTTCTTCAAGTCTTCGAATGGAGAAACTTGTAGAAGAAAGGCTTGATCGAGGGCTTGAACGGCTTGATCTCGAATGAGTCTTGAAATGATCTTTTTGAAAAGAGAGACCAAATTTGTATTTGTAACTTGAAAGGATTGGCATAAGTTTGGAGTGCTTGATAATCCTTTCTTCTAAGTTTGAGGAATTTTAGAGAGAATTTGGCAAAGTCTCGAGATTGCTTAGGAGCTTGCAAGACCATTAGTCAAAGAATGTGTCTCCTTTTCCCTCTAATGAGAGCCTCTATTTATAGGTTTAGGAGGGGAGGGTTAATTTTGAAAACTCCAAAATTGACTATAATTTCCAAGAAACAAGCAATTTACCTTTTATAGAAATTATTTGCATTGAAAATTTGAATTATTCTACTAAATTCTGACAAAATATTTTAATGGGCCACACACTTTTGGGTTGACCCAATTGTCAAAATGCATTCACTTTTCTTTTGGTGTGACCCATAATTTAAAATGGGTTAAGATCTATAATTTTAGTAAGACCCACATCCATTTGAAAAATTTAACCATCTTAATTTTGATTAATCAAAAAAATTTATTTGTCTTGATTAATCAGACAGTGATCAAGACACATAAAAATTTAAGTGTTTACAAATTGCCCCCACTTCAAAACTCTAGTTTGATGCTTGCTCGCTAATATCAAAGGTAGGATTTGAAATAAATTCGTCATGTTTATGTAAAGATTTAATTGCAATATATGCCATGTAATTTTTTTTTTAGCACAACGTGAGTGGCTTTCCACCTCCTATGGAAGGTAATGTTTAGGAAGCACAACTAAGGTTTTAATGTTTCCTTCCGCCACCCAATATGTGTTGGAAATGGTAATAAAATTCTGGATAAAACTAGAATTTTTTCCTAAGTTAGGTCTTATTTGTTTATTTAAATCAGATTTTAATTTTGTTTTGGTAACAAAATAAAATCTGTTTTTATTTATTTATTTTTATTTCGAGTTTGATTTTTGTAATCAAACAAATTCTCTCCTTTTTCTTTATTTCTTTAAATACAGTGAAGATTGTCCAACAATATGCACTACTTCTCTTTATAAATGATTGATGAAGGGTTGCTTTCCACTGGCCAACTCTGCATCTCCTTTTCCTGACCATTGCTAGTAGCTGCCTGCTGCATGACAATCAAGGTAGGACTTTTATATATGAGAAATGCATCAGATCCCACTGGGGGTGACCCCCAGGACCCTCAGTGGGGTTTGATTGGTCAAATTTATTTATTTATTTTTCTTTTTCTTTTAAGTCTTGCACATAGTCCCCACGTGAAGTTGGGGTGCTGGGAGTCCCAGCACGGTTGTTTATATATATATATACAAATATGTCATGGTGCCTTATGACTGTGCACTAGTGCCTTGGTGCTTTTTTTTTTTTTTTTCATGGTGCTTTGTATCTTGTGCAGACTTATATATATATATATCTATCTTAAGTGTGCATGGTGTTATCTTGGTGTGATATCACCATAAATTCTATGAACACTTCTTATTTTTTATTTTTTGATAGCATCATCAATCTATGTGCACTGAACAACTTTTTTTTTTTAACCTTCTTTGCAAATTGTATTTGATTATTAACCATAAGAATAATGATTTTGTAAGAATAATTAAGTAACATGTCTCACTATCCTTTCACCATAATTGGTTATTTTGACTTATGTGGGGGATGCGCATATCGAGCTAGCTGCTTGGATTTTGGGCTAGTGAAGTAGACACTTCCACCAACCACCACTCATTTGACCATAGGTGATTAGTTTGACTCATGTGGGGAATGCATCTATCAAACTAGCCGCTTGGATATTGGGTAATGAAGTAGACACTTTCACCACCACACATTCGACTATAAGTGATTAGTTTGACTTGTGTAGAGGAATGCGCCTATCAAGCTAGGTGCTTGGATATTGGGTTAGTGAGGTAGTATAATAACCCGAACCCATGATTAACGTACAATCCATGATTAAGAAGGTTTAATAAGTAATTAAAGTGGAATCTTGTATTACTTGCATGTGTATTGCCTTATTTGTGTTTATGTCTATTTAATGTAGAAAGATCTGTTCATGTTTTCGTTTCGGTTTGTGAATTAAAAGCCTTATCGGCATTCGATTTAGAAATTGGCTTGATTTATGTGTTAATTAGGATTTTTAGAATTTTATGGTAGGTTTAATTAAAATTCAGTTCAGAATGATTAAATTAGAATAATTTAATGTCCAATTGATTAGTTTATCAACAAATTAATTAAGCTATTAGCCAAGACTATATAAGGCTCCCATATGTGCCTGCACTCTTTCTTTTTCTTCATTTCAACACATTCACATACAAACAAAACGTGGGAGAGAGAGAGAGATAGAAGAAAATTGAGATCAAAAGCTAGGAAAAAGAAGAATTTCTAAGAATTGTTGGAGGCTTGCAAAGAATTTGGGAATTGAAGCTTCTTCACTTGTGCAATTTAGACTCTAGGTAAGAATTTTAGGGTGTGTTTGGTTTGTGTTTGTAGAGTAGTTTTTGAGATAAAAAAGTACAAAAAGTTGTTTGGTTTGCTTTTTTCTAAATATTCTCTTTAAAATAACTTTGGTGTTTTTGTAGAGTAGTTTTTGAGATAAAAAGTATAAAAATTTGTTTGGTTTGTCTTTTTTCAAATATTCTCTCTAAAATAACTTTGGTTTTTTTTGTAGAGTAGTTTTTGAGATAAAAAAAGTATAAAAACTTGTTTGGTTTGCCTTTTTGTAGAGTAGTTTTTGAGACAAAAAGTATAAAAATTTGTTTGGTTTGTTTTTTTGTAGAGTAGTTTTTGAGATAAAAGTACAAAAATTTGTTTGGTTTGCCTTTTTTTGCAAACATGTTTCAAAAGTAATCCTGGAAATCGGATAACCAAACACATTTTTGAGAGTTTTTTTAGAAAAATCTGTTTGGTTTTATTACTTTTAAAAAAGTGTCTGTAGAGTATATTTCCAACAAAATTCTCCTAAAATCAAACCAAACAAGGCCTTAGTCTTTGACCTTGTAATGTAGTTGATTAATACATGGAAACAAGTGAATTAAGTGAATTCATATGGGAATTGCGCTAGAATTGAAGGAAGTTAAGTCATTCCATACATGCATGCATATTTCATAGCATTTTGAAATTGTTTTCAAAGATTTCCTCTCATGCATGTTGTAATTCTAGCATGGTTTGAAGAATTCGTAACATTTCTTACCATTGGACCTCATTTAATCATGTTTTGGAAGCTATGAACTCAACTGAATATATGCATGTCATGTTCATATCAAGTTCTTATATTTCAAGTTGAATTTTGCACAATTGACATGCTTTTGGGCCTTGATTTCACGAAATGATCTTTAATTCTTAATGTTTTCAAGTTTAAATTGATTTTCTCAAGTTTTGGGGCCCAAAGGTTGAGTTTAATGGCTTTGGATTCGAGTTTGGAGCTTAGGAGTGCAATCTGGGAATTCCAGATTCTGTACTTCTGCTCGAGTGGCAAACTCTGTGCTCGAGCGACCGTTCTAAGGTCTTGCACTTTTGCTTGAACGACCAGAAGTCTGCTCGAATGTAAAATGCATGCTCCCAGAAGTTTCATGTTTTTGTAAACCGCTCGAGCGACAAGGGTTGCGCTCGTGTGGGGACATGAGTCTCACGCTCGAACGACCGTCGAGCGTCCATTGAGTGTGAAAATCAAATAACTAGTACTTTTTCAAAGTTTGTAGACCACTCGAGCGGAGAAAGTTGTGCTCGAGCGGCCCCTCATATGAAAACATACACTGAAGTTCATTATCAACTTTCCTTGCTTCGCGACACAGAAAGTACTCTTGGCCACTTACACCTTAAAGGATGAAGCCCGGCGATGGTGGTTGTTAGTTCAAAATAACAATGGGGATATGACATGGGCTCAATTCAATGAGATATTCTACAACAAGTACTTTCCCTAATGTTTCAAAGATCGAAAAGTGCCAGAGTTTCAAGAACTCAAGCAGGGCAAGATGTCTGTGGCCGAGTATGAAGCCAAATTCACTGAGTTAGCTAGATTTGCTCCTCACATGGTGGATACAGACTATAAGAAAGCCCAAAAATTTGAAGGAGGATTGGATTTAGACATATTTGATCGAGTAGGCGTATTGAAGTTGCCTACCTATGTGGAAGTTTTGGATAGAGCAATAATGGCGGAAGCCACCCTGGCAACAAATAAAACAAGCCAAGGCACCAATCACAGAATGGAGAAGTAAAAGGTCTGAATTCAATTTCAAGAAGGGCCGGTCATTTAGAAAAAGGAAACAGAATACGGGATCTTCTAACAGCTCTAGCCAGAGTAGTGGCTCTATTCCAAACTATCCTGATTGTGGAAGAAAGCATGGGGGAGTGTGCTATCGTGTATCTGGTGCCTGTTATCGGTGTGGCAAAGTTGGCCATATGAAAAAAGATTGTCCACTTGGGCT